GCGGGACGCGGTGACTCAGCCCCAGGCCGGGAGGGGCGCGGAGACCCCGGCCCCTTCCCGCCTGGCCGCGGCGGGCGGGCCTGGCTGGGTCGGTGGTGCCGTCTCCTTTACGAGGGGCGTTAAAGGTGGTGGGGAGCCGGCGAGCTGCCTTGGTCAGCTGGCGCGGCCGTAGGCGAGGGTTTCCTGTTTCATGAATGGGCTCAGCCGCGGTCTGTTCTTTTGGGCGCACGTGCCCCTCGCCCTTGGGAAGGCATCGGAAGGAGGCCGCGGGGATGCGGGGACTCTGGGGATAGGGGGAGCCCCGAGCAGTGTGGGTTGTCGCGGGTCGGCGCTGGCGGGCGCGCAGGGAGGCTTCCCCGGTAGGGCCTCGAGGGGCTGGGCAGTCTCCCGGGGCGTTACCGGTGGGGACGGTGGAGCTCCAGCCTGGGAGCCGGGCCCCGGCTCAGCCCCCCGCTAGCCCTGTAACCCCTGCGCAGGTTTCATACCCGGGCCTGTCTCTTTTGCGATGCGGCGGGTTAGGACGGCGCCCGCCGCGGGGTGCGGCGTGAGCTGCCGCGGTGCCCTGGCGGCCGGGGCACTCGCAGGACCCGAGCCCTCAGTCCTTTAAGTGTGGGACGGAGTGCCTGTGTGGCGTTCACGGGCATGAATGCTTATTGACCTCCGTGCGGTACCGAATTTGAATTCGAGGCAGGCAGTAAGTACTCTGGGAGAGTGGCGGAGACGCAGGGTGCAGGTGAGGGGAAGAGTTGCCTCTTGAAAATGGGAAAGGGTGAGTTCCTGTCTTACTAGTGGTTGGCCTAGCCTTACAGTGGTGAGGTTAAAAGTGGTAACCGAAACAGCTCTGTCGGCGTGGGAATTGTTAAAAAAGAAAAAGTGTGGGGCGGGGGGTGACGTTGACTCATTGATGAAAGGTGATTCATCCTGCACTTCACACATCTTAATAGCAGCCCGTTTGTGGAGTTCTCCAGAGTGACCTCTTGTAAAGAGCAGGACTTGTGTGGACCTGCCCTTACTAAGTGTTCATCTTAGTGTCACCTGGAAGACTATTTTGCTTTTTATGTGTTTCACGTTTTTGTTTTTATGTTTCACTTTTTAAATACAAAAGTCCTTAAAATTATCACAATGGGTAGAAGTTTAAATGTTAATACCATTTGGATGTGTTCTTGCCACTGGCCTGTGCTTGAAACGAGCCAGAAAACAGTTTACCTTTTCCTTGGTGATTAGTTTAAATGGGCATATGGGAAGCAATGCTGGGCATGTGGAGAAGGAACAGATCTCTGCTACTTGTTTGTGAAAATGGAAGCATGTAAGAATATTAAATAGTACTTGTTAACGTAATCATTTAAAGTCTACAAATAACTTCTCAATTTTAAAACTTCATGTGAATTGAAAATTTTTTTACTTAAGTCATCTAATCAGTTGTTTATGTTACTGAAACCTTAGCTGGTTTATACAGCGGGGATATGCATACCAATTTGCAGAGTAATTACGGTTTTGCCTATTTGTAGAATACTTAACAGTCTACTACTTTATGAGTTTAATAAATGGTGTTATCTGCAGGGGAATAACTGTAGGAGCACAACACCTGTAATAATAGAGAAAACAACCATTTATTGAACACTAATTATTTTACTGATGAAGAACCCAGGTTCATCACGTTGTTTAAAATCACAGTAGTTAGGGTTTGAACCTCGTGTTTCTCTAAAGGTTTTCCTTAAACAGTGTACCCTGCATATTGGGCCACCGTGAAGGTGGAGAGAACACTGTCACATGTAATCCCAGAGTGGGTGACAGCATTTGTATTTGTTTCAGGTTTATGTCCTTATGATGCTTGGCATCGTGTACTTAATTGGAAAGTGGAGTTAAGCATCTAACTCTGAGAATGTTGTGCGTAATTTAAAATAATAGCATTAATATCATCATCATGTTTTCAGAGTGCTTATATGTTTTTGTTGATAGTCTCAGCATCCCATGGTGTTAGTTATTGCTGTTTTACAGATGTGGAAGTTAAGTTAAATTACTCTTCAAAGCCACATTAGTAGTAATGAAATTTAAGTTGTGTATGTGTACTTTTTTCTTTTTTACATACGTTGGCTGATACTGTGAAGAGGTTTGGCACCCTATGTTAATTTTTTTAAAATGTAGTCATATTGTGAGCATCTTCCCATGTCATTAAACAGTCTTTGAATATGACTTCTAATGGCTTCGTAATATTTTCTTGCATGACCATTAAAAACTATATTGTTGAACAGTGGATGTTTTACAGTTATTTGATATGTAAAATACTGGGAAAGTATTCATAAACATAAATCTTTGTCTCTTTAATTTCTTCCTTAGGATAGGCATTTAAAAGTGTGTAAGAAGTTTCTGAAGGTTTCCAATTTAATTTTTACCAGCAGGATATGAAAGTGCTGTCTCACTTTATCCTTTTTTATCATCGAATATTATTATTTTAAAAATCTTTTTTTCAGTCTGGTAAAAGTGGTATCCTACTTTTAAGAAATTGAGGTATTACATACTATGATAAAATGTGCAGAGCTTAACCCTCAGGTATGGTGAATTTTAACATTTGTATAAACACAAAATAATCATCATTCAAAGCAAGAATAATTCTTCAGGCTCTTTCTGGGCGTCAGCCCCCCACCAATGATCTGCCTTCTGTTGCTATCGGTTAGTTCTACCTGTTCTTGGACTTCATGTAAATGGAGTCACAAAGCGCCTAGTCTTCCACGTCTGGCCTGTTTTGCGCAGTATGTTTTTGGGGCCCATCTGTGTTGTTGCATGTATCTATAGTTGGTTTCTTTTTTATTGCTGAGTGGTGTTCCATTGTATTAGTATTTAGCAGTTTTCCAGTTTGTGGGCATTTGGGTTATTTGCGGCTTTTGGCTGTTGTGTCCCAGGCTGCTGTGAACATTCTCTCGCACAGCCCTTGTGTGGGCCTGTTTTCCTGCGCACTGTCCTTCAGGCCTTGGAGCCTCCCCTGCCTCCTCTGCAGAAGCTCTGTGTAGGCAGAGGTTCACACTGGGGGGTCTTGAGGGGCCAGGCCAGGCCAGGACTCGGTTCCAGGGCCCCAACCAGCTGCAAGGAAGACTAAGAAATGTATTCTGGCCGTGTGCTCAAGAGGAAGAGGAAGCAGTGATTGGTGAACTACTCCGTGGTCTCTGCCCACCTGTGCACACACTGAAGCTTCTGAGTTCCAGATACAGTGAGAACCGTTGAGTGGGGGCCCTCCCACGAGTCCTTTACCACCTCCACCTCCCAGGGTCTTCCTTTAGAGCCGCCTGCTTTCCTCTCCTGTGCCCCTGGGCAGCTCTCCCTCCTTCCTCGGTCCTGTCTGTGACCCTGTCCATTTTCCTTGGTTTCAGCAAATGACCTTGCTTCCTACCTGGGACAACAGGACTTCCAGAAGCATCTTCCTGAGCTTTCCCTCTACTTGCCCCACCCTCCGCACCTACACATTTGTTTGTTTGTGGTTTATGAATCCTTGACTCTTTTGCTCCTGACCCAGAGACTGTCTATCTTCTCCAGGCGAGCTTTTCTCTCTAGATTTCCCTCTCCTGCTACCTCCGAGGCCCGGAATCCTCAGCTGTCTCTCGTGTCTTCAGCCTCTCCCTCTCCATGTGCTCTGTCCCCCCACAGAATAAACTATGAACATTTCTTGTATTGAAAAAAGCCCATTCCTCGATCCTGCCTCTATCCTTGGCCCCTCTGTTCATAGCCGAATCCCTTCAAGAGTAGGTGTCCAGCAGTCTCTGCTTTCTCATCCTTGGCTGTCGGCCACGTGCTGCAGCCCAACTTGCTCACCTGCATCCACTGCAGCTGCTCTCACTGTTGCCGGTCGCCCTTCCTGCTGCATTGGATGCTTGTCTCTCCTTCCTTCTTGACTTCTGTGCGACCCTCGCCCTTACTGTACCCACTTAGGCCCCTCCTCTGGGCTGCCACCTGGGCTCCTTTTCCTCCGTCTCTCCTGACTGAGGGTTGATGAGCCCCAGAGGCTGTGCCCTCAGTCACTGCGTTATCCTCTGGCAGGGGTGAGAGTGGTTCCAGCACTGCTGATTTCTTGACTCCCAGACCTGTAGGTCAAGCATGGACTTCTTTCCTGAGCTCCAGACCATCACTGATGGCCCCCTGGAC